GGCAGCATTTTACAACTTAAATGATGTCTTACATTAAAAGGAATTATACTAAACAGTTACACTCTCCAATTTTAATTAAAGATGGAATTACCCTAAAGCCAAATACCCAGTTGTTTGCAAGCACTTAATGCTAAACTGGAGTAGAATATGCACCACAAAACATGGTCATTAGAGAAAATCTGAACAGCTGAAAATTTCTGGTGAAGACAGAAAACAAAACAATGTCTCCTTGATGCAATGGCAGCACATGCAGTAAACAGCCTTGCAAGCTTCTCCTGAAAAGCAGCAAGGATGTGAGTGGAGTTCATTTATGTCTTCCCTCTTTGTGTAGGTGGCAAACTACAGATTAACCTTCCTAACTCTTGCCTAAGGCCTTTGGCAGGTGGTGTTATTCTAATTTAATTGTGGTGGTTTAGGAGGTTATAGACTTTAACCCTATCCTTTCACCTTCTACCTAAGGTTTCTGCTTTTTTGGTAGTAGCAGCAAGAAGTCTGTGTGTACTAATCTCTCAGATACGGCAGTTCATGACCTGACATAAAAACATAATCGCCACCATTTTCAAGTAACACACAAGGCAGGATATGCACCAGGCTGTGAACTAAAGCATCTGACAACAGGCACACTCTCACTGCTATGGCAGTCTCAAGCTCTGGAAGCAGGGGTGGGAGCCTCTTGAACCTTCTGCAGCAGCAACTGGCAGAGCTTACTGCTGGAATCCCCACCCTTTGGAAGAACAAAGCCAGAAACAGTAGCTGATAAACAAAGCCTTGAGTGCTCTGATCAGTACAAGGGCGAAAAAGGGTTCAGATGAAACAACTGTGAGCCAGGTCAGATGTAATTAATACAGCTTCTAAGGCACTGGATGTGCCTTGGCTAGCAAGTCATACTCTCTTTGTTATCTTTCTAATGTGGCCTAACAGACCCCAACACTTTATCAAGAATTCTGTTTCCTCTAAAAAAAACAAAACAGAGAAATGGAAAGAGAAATGAGAACATGAACAGTTTACAAAGGGCTTTTCATGTACAGCAGTCCTGTCCAGTGAAGCTGCTTTTTGGAGTTGGGCATGATATTACATATAGGAAGGAAAGGTTCATAGTTACCAAATTTTAGGTGTACATTATATCCTAATCAATTTATAAGAAAAATCATTAAATTCATGTTTTCACTAGATATCTCCTCAGATGACAACACTGCCAGAAGGGAATCCAAAAAATTATTAAAGCATAATGAGAGCAAGGAATATAAAACTTTTTGTTCATAAATTAATCCAATTTCATGCTTTCTCTTTTAAAACATAAACATCAAGTTAACATGACACCGTCACCTTAGTTTAAACTCCTAGATTTAAAATCTTATCTGCAGATATAAAAACCTTTGGTGACATAAGTATCATAAATGTTTATTGAGTGTGATTAGAAGTGAGGATGATTTGCATTTTTGAAAATTGTACAGTACTTTAGATGATTGGTCTTTTATCTTTAAAGAGCCTGCTAAAGATATTTCTTTACAACTCACATGAGGAAGCCTATAAGGGCTACATCCCCAAGAAGATTTTCAGGTTTGCGTCCCAAATTTATGTTCCTCAGTGTGGAACGGAGATCTTCAAAATTCTCTAGCAGTAGCTGCATAATCCTGATCCTATAAAAAATTTGTAGGAACCTCATAATTCCTTGGTAGTGTATTTCCATGTGCCCAGAGACTGCTGCAGGGAATGCTTTGAAGTGTCTCTACTTTGATCCTTCTGAGAGACTGGGTGACAAGCGTGTCAAATCACAATAGAGCTTAAGAATCTAACTACATTAGAGGGTTCTGTGCTCTGAATTTTCATTCACGGAACATCCCTAAGTCATGGGAAGTAGTGCAATTTTATAAATACTCCTTTCAGCTGACTTTGCTATTGTCTTGGGGGTTTCCTTGGTTGGATTTGAATGGGATGGAATTCTCAGGAAACTTCACAATAGAAAATGAAAAAGTTGTTAAGGCAGTTTAGTTGTGGATTTTAGAGCAGTGAATAGTGTGTAGGAATCCAGCTTGCCCAGCCTCAGATAAGTGACTTAGGCCCTTTCTTGTTTAGTCCTTCCTTCTAATCAAAAGAGATGTGAACTTCCTGAGGATTAAATGGTGTTTGGGTGGGCTCTGCTCTGAAACACCCCTGTGATTTCTCCAACCATACTGTGAACAATCCATAAATTCATAAATCTTTATGAACTTCTGCAGAAACAGTTTCCCCAGTCAGAATTCTCCACAAATGCTTTTAAAAGGAGCATAGAAGAACCCATGAGACAAAACCCGCCTGCTACTTCTTAGGAGCACAGATAGAAAGAGAAGTCCTAGGAGGCAGCTTATAGAGGAGTACCATATCATATGGTGCTGTATAATACTTAGCAGGTAACACAGAGCTCTATTTCATACTTTAAAAAGATTGTAAGTACGAAATAGTGTTACTAGTATTCATTTGCTTCATGGAAAATGAAAGAAAACCTTCTCAGGATTGAGAACTGACCTCCCTAAAAATAAGTTGGAAGCAAGAGGATGCATGGGAGAAAGTAAAGAAATGCCTAACTAGTAAATCTTTGATAATTCAGATATTATTATTGGAATGGATAAGGGTGAAAAGACAAGTTGTTAAAAAAACACCTTAGACATGACAACAAGACACCAGTTCTATGTTCATGTACCATTTGTATGCGGTCTTATTCAGTTTGGGGGAATTCTCAATCGCAGAGGCATGCCAGAAAGAATTGTAAAGGAGGAATATAGCCTTGTTATGGAAGGTAAAATAAGGTGTGAAACTGAACTGAGATGAAAGACTGTTGATTTCTGCAGGATGGTGAAAAATGAAGGGGCAGCTGATTTTATACAGTGGGATGGATTCAGGAGACACAATGAATTGCAAAACATCCTGAAAACCAAGTAAAAACTGGGAACAGAGAATTAGGGTAAATTTAGGTGAGAGGATGATAAGGGGTAATGCCCCAGATCAGATATAGAGGGAACATCAGTGTACGCACCAGGAACTCAGAAAGTAAGGAATTTAAGCATATATTCTACAGCTCTATAGCTCTGTATACTCAGATTACCTCCTCAGATAAATGGTGGTGACTTTGGGATGAAGGAAGTTCACACACAGATTTCCAAAGCACAGAACTAGCAAATTTACTAATCTGCTAAAGTAAATGAACCAACAGGACCACAAACACTTACACATAAACATATCTGTTTTCAGAAAGTAGCAAAATTTCAATTTGAAATATTATTCCATGTTTATTCTAGGTTTTTGATAATACTATTTCTGATCTTTGTGCTAATATGCCAGCTCAAAAAATAGTTCAAGCGAAAACCAAGTCCACAGTTATCAGCTATGTATTTTAAGACAAATCTAGTAAAGGAAACTCAGGCATTTTGAATTTGTTTCAGCTGCTGAATGGAAAGAAAAAAAAAAGGAGCTGCATGCAGAACATAAATTTAGTCATGATGCCACTGTACGAACACTTTGTAAGCCTTGGCTAATTAGTCCATTCAAAATCCCTGCTGGGAAAACAAGTGATATTCTTCTGGTTTTACAAATGAGGGATTGGAAGGAAAGTGACACTACTTTAAATGTCTAGCCCAGACACATAGAGATTCAGCATGGTGAAGTGTAATTAAAAGTTAAACAGTGGGTAATTCTTACTGCTGAGCTCAGACTATGCTTTTCTGCATAGCCCAAAAGCTTAGCAATGCATTCAGGAGAGCAGTGGAGAGGGGAAGAAAGATATTCCACTGCAGGTATTAAAAATGCATGTGGAAAAAGGAAACAAAACAAAGGGTAACCAAACCACTCACGTTCATACGGATAAGTTATTATTATTACTTGTTTAGCATTGAAAATGTGCTTGACTGCACATTATATTATCCAAATGTATTGTGAGAACTGATTATACAAAGAAATTAAGTTATTTCTGATTATGCAATGCAACCATTTTGACATCTTAGTAATGACTATTTCTATACCAATACAAAGGAAAGTGCAAGTTTGCATTACAGTGACATTTACTTCACAGCTGCATGAATAAAATTATTTCAAGCAGCAACCCTTACATAACCCCTTAGTGTAACTTTGATTTGCAGCATGATTTCCAGCAGCTCTCATTTTCACAATGCTTCAGAAGTCACCACGTAGACATAGGATACTTTATTAGTAGCAGTAAATCAAGCATGACATCTCTCCTGAATATGCTAGGGTCACTCTTTAAGCTGTCAGTAGTCAGCTTTGCTCTACTATTTCAGTGAAACTCTCAGAGTGAGATTCACTCTGCCATCTGATGGTATAGTGTAATGATAACTACTGTTAGGAAAACACGGATCAAAGCATATCACTAATAGCAAGCAACCTAGAAAATGGTTTGTACTCATTGGAGCAACACTTTGTTTCCTTTCATGCCCTTGGTTCCCATGAAGTGGAACTTTTCCAGCTCAGACACAGACTCGGTGAGGAAGTGCAGAGTACAATTCTCCCTCTACTCATACTGCTTAGCATGGCATGAGATGCTCCCTTATCTTAGTACAGTGGGGGTTCCCATGGTGTTACAGCACCCTTTCCTTCTTTCCATTTTGATTAAAGACTATATTTCAAAATCTCACAAACCTTGCTGGTTGAAGTGATGCACATGACAGCAGCAGATGCACAGTATCATCTGCACATCAAGCAGACTGAAATTTAACACTCTGAAATATATTCAGGTGCTAATCAGAAACTTCAGTGTTGCCCAAGTTCAGTTAAACTGACTTGTGACTGTGAGTAATTGGCTTTGTAATTTTGATTGAAATTGATAAGTCCAATTTTCTGGTCCTACTTCAATAAGTCAAAATTCACCCTAAAGTTACACAAATCTATTTTGTTTGATCTTTGTAAAAGCAGAGAAAGAAAGAAAAGTATATAGAAGTAATTTCTGAGTTGTCAGTGACAGATATTTTCTTTTGATTTCACACATTTGCTGAAGGTAGAATAGACCTTACCGTAGCTGTCATAAGCCTCTTCACTTGTTCCATGACTGTAGTCATAATATTCAGGCACACTGTAACAAATTCAGAAAGCCATGTCACTATTATCCTGGGTAACCAACTCAAAACAAAAACAGAGCGCAGTAAATGAAATGTATTTTAACTCTCTGACATGATAGTAAAGTCCAGTTAGTTTCAGAGATAGCAAGTGTTTAAAAACATGAAGGAAAATGTATCAGTGACAATAACAGCCAGTATATAGTACATCACATTTCTTATCTACTGAGCATAAAACAAATTTGATCCGAAATATGTAAACCTAGGAGATGTGACAAAGACTGAGAGAAATTCTATTTGCAAAAATAAGGTCTGAAAAAAGACCATCCACTGTATCATTCAGTATTGTTAAACTGCCAAACGAGGTGCTAATCTCATTTACCTGTAATTCCAAACTTTATGTATTATCAAACTCAGCACAGTTTGCTTTCACAAGCTGACTGTATTGTATGGTGTGGAACCTGTAAACTACTTATCTTTACCAAAAACACAGACAGGTTTCCAGCTTTGATCCTGAAGAAGAAAGCATGTTTCCACTGCCTGTAGAAAGAAACCTGATTCTCCATAGCCTTTTTCCTTACACAGTTATTGGATATCCATGGAAAGTTTTTATACAGTAATTAATAAAACATATTGAAAGAAATGGGGTCAAGGACTGCAAAATCACACTTATGAATCTCAAACTCGCTTTTTCATTGTTTTCAAAAATTATGTATATAACATATTAAAACATTGCCAAAATTTCTTAGATAATAGTTACACCCTGATAATCAGCAATTCCCAGCTATTATGTGGAGTGGACATCCAGACATAATTAAATGGAAATGGAATTATTCACACTTTCACTTTACTGCTATTATAATTTATAGTTTGCACTGTGGTTTTGGTACCTGACACCAAATTCAAGATCAGACTACTTCGGTTCTGGGGTACCAGGCAGACATAACAAGAATCAGTCTCTGCCCAGAAAAACTTGCGAACTCCATGAATTCTACTACATTGTACTTCTTTGATCTGCAGTGAACCAAAGAGAAAATGTGACGCTTTCTCTGTGTTAGTTTTCAGTTGTTGTCACTTTTGCTTCTTTTTTCTTGGACACTGTGTGAGATAGACTCACAAAATGAACAGAAGCAGGCAATCAGCTCAATATTGCATTAATTATAACATTATTGCTCAGGCCATTTTCCATATTGGATTACTATTTAAAAAATATTAGTTTACCCTTGAGAGAGAAGCTTAGTTGACAGTGGAGTGCAAGTAGAAATATTTCACAAGTGCAATAGAGATAAACATGCAATCTGTAACAATTATTTTCTTAAACTAATTTTGACTTCTTTGTTCACAAACAGCCTGTAATCAGATTTTTAATTTCTTGAACTTAATAGCTATCTATATTATTCTTGGAATAATTTCTGAGAATAATTTATGCGCTCTATCTCACTTGAGACCACTGATTGTGTGTATCTGATAACTGACAGTCAAGCTGTTTTGAATTGTGTCTGGCTAGGCACAACTCTCACAGTCAGTTTCCAGCTACAAATATCTGTGGTGTTTTTTTGAACTGAAAATGCAACTATAATTGTTGTGCATTAATTTCGTTATTTAGCCAGAAGTCATTCATGTGAGTGAATGAATTACACTGATGTCAGTATCTCAGAGAGGTGAAATCCATTTGCTACAGTAGTTGCAGAAAGTGGCCATACAAATGACATGATAGTAATACTTTTAAAGATTTTTCCCAAAGCCAACTGAGCTCTACAGAACATAATGACTGCAGTGCATTGACTTCCTGGATAATGAGAGCCATCTAGTTCCTTGAAAATTAATTATCCAAATTTATAAACCATCCTATTGAAATGGTGCAAGAAACATCTTCTATTTGTAGAACATAGTAAGCATTCTGTATTATTTTGCAATGATTTTAGTAGCCTGTTAAATGAAATTACAGGATTATGTAAGGTGAACCAAAGCACTGGCAGAATCAGGGTTAAATCATGTATCTAGTTATATATACAAGGCTTATGGTTTAGACCTAAGAAATTACTTGCAATGTTCAAAACAGAGAGATGACGTACCACCCAGATCTGGCAGACAGACGTATGAAAAGTCTAATTTAAGAAGCTGCATTTTGGCATACTGCCTGCTTTCCTGGGTAGAGAAGGGTGTTGGACTAGTGAGTGGTGTTAGAGGAGAAGGAACGCAAGAACTCTCATCTTTTGCCAGCAGATAAGACGCCGATATTTCTTCACAATACATTTTTACAAACCAAAGCAGCTGCAACCAAAGGTCAGTTTTAAAAGGAGAGCATTTGGGACTCAGTCCAAAGGCCAGTAAGTCATCAACAGCAGTGCTGCTTTCTGTAGTCACTGAGCAGGCCTTGAGCTGTTACCCATCAATGTAACATCCAGCAGAATGCAAGACTTGCAATAGCAGGTAAAAAATTCATTGCTACGTTATTGTTGCTGTACATTTTTATTAGAGAAAAAACCACACAATCATAGAGAAAATAAGGATGTGAGATAAAAATCCTGCAGTGAACATTCAGAACCAAAATACACTATCAACAGAATACTAAGTTAATACACACACCATTATAAAATAAGAGGCATTGCAACTGTAGAAAGGAAGTAACTTGTTATATACTGCATATTTGATGTTTGTGAGCACAAGACTTACATTCCTGAAAACACATAATTCATAGCACAATACATGATTGTCATTCAAGTTCTCCAACTTTATTTGCCTCAATAAGACATCTTTTTCATAGATTTGAGCCAAAATAGCATTTCAAATTCTCTGCCAACTCATATTAGAAAGTGTTTTGAAGAATACCTAAGTGAAGAAAACTTATTTCTTAGTATGAAATACCAGATTTAAACTCATATTTTGTGAGTCAGACTGCTTATACATTAGTCTGCTCTATTTTGAACCTCTCTGAATATTCACTATAATCTATGACATGAATTTAGTTGTAAAAATTTTCCTCTGTTTTTTAGCAAAGTGAACAATGAGTGATGTTTATAAAAATGTGTGATAGACTATGGCTTTACAAACATAGATTTTTTTTTTTTTTTATTCTTAAACTACAGAGAGATATAGTCCATTTGCATTATGGCCAACTGAGAAGGAAACAATCAGGAAATACATTCAGCATAAATAAAACTTGTTTATATAATTTTATAGTTCTCAGACTGTTCTTGGAAAATACAGTGTTCATGAGCTCTAGAAACCTGTGACTCTCTTGGCAGTGCTAATTGGAAACAAAACACCATTATCTGTCATTAGCATTCATTACTTTCAAGCAACATAAAGTGTAATTTACTTAAGTACATGCACCCACCTGAAAGCAGGATGCAATACATTTTATAAAGCAGACAGGATTAACTCATTACCAACTTCTCAGCTTTTACGTGCACTGTACTTTAACATCAGACTTCTGAAACAGAGATCTTGATATGCCATGACTTAGACTTGAGTAGCTTTCTATACATAGCACTTGTGGAAAAATTGATATACACACGGGCATGTATCTCAAAAGTAGTTTAACTGGTTTTGTATCTGAGAAGCTCTGATCTCTATCTACATCTCTATGTATATGAAACTTCTACAACAAAGATGTATGACTCTGTCATAATTCCTATTCTGTGTGCAAGGAGATTAGTAATATGTATATGGTTAATCTTCATAATTGTAACCTATTTAGGCTTATTTTTTTAACTTTTTATTTTGGTTAATGTTTTTAAACCTATTAATTTTAAAGACTTGGGAACAAAGTTTCCACAAGTTTGAGATCTCTTCTTCTCATGCCGATAAAGCCAGATCAGTTTTAAAAAAAACAACTTAAAACAAACGACCAAAAAAAACCAACACAAGATGTTCCTTATTTGAGAGATAAGGGTCCATTTAAGTGCCTTCCAACCTGAATTATCTAGGGCTCCTATGATATGACGAAGGTCCAAGTACAGAGACTGTATCTAAATAGCAACCTTAAAAGCCAAGAGAGGCTTTTAACCTCTTGTTAACTGGCACTTTTTCAAATTGACATTAGTTAAAGGAAAAGCGAATTCCAGTTTGATTCTGTCAACACCCATAGGAAACCACACAGCTTTTTACTCAAAAGGCTGGACAGTGCTTTAAGGTGGTTTAGGCAGAGAACCACAAACAAAAGAGTTGAGATTGAAGCCACAAAACTCTGACTCTTGGGTCAGCAAGTCACCCAGGGGAAGTGTGATGTTCACCACTCAGAGGTCAGTGGGGTTAGATACAGAAAATCATGATGTTAATGAATAGACTGCATTGGGCTTTGACCAATCTCTTCCTGCACCTGCAAGAAGCTGCTGGTAAAACACCCTGGGTTAGCAACGTTACCATCTGGTTCCCTGGCTGCTCTTACAGCTGCAGCAATATAAGGCAGCAGAACATTGCAAGAACTAAAGAATTCAAGTACTTCTTGTTCCCTCATGCTTTTTGATTGTGTGTGGGTTTTGTTTAGTTCTTCCTTTCTCTCTTTTTGTTCTTTGCTTTTACTTGGTGAAAGATGCATGTAAGCTTTTATTCTCTAATTGTGGAGCACAAAATGTGGTTGTAGACATACAATGGACTCTCTAAAGCCAAAGCAGAAAGGTACAAGAAAGGGTTCACCTGCTTTAAAAACTGCTAATATGTGAATCTGTACAGGAGAAGTATGTTCTGTAGTCTATCCTGATATATCCTAAAAAACTGAAAGCCTTTGATTGACCTGTTGATCTAGATTTAACACATATATTTTCCTGTAAAAAAGTTTTTTTTTCTTTCCTAATGGTTGTACTTTTTAACTCGAAGAGTATATTTTAGTATAATATAGGAATCTTTTATTCGGAAATGTTTGGGAAAGATCTGGTCAATTTAGAAAAGAGCTTTTTGATCAACCTCAAAGTTATAACTCTGCCATTAGATAATAATCGGGCTTCTTTTGTGAAATAAATGAATTGGTCCAAACTAGAGATTCAGCTGATGCCAGTGAAGTTCTACAGTTCAG